ATTTTAAAAATATATTTTCAGTAAATATATTTTTGCGGATCCCTGTGTACCAGTGAGACCCCGGTGTTCTCTCAGCCCACATCTCCCACTCTTTAGGACCGCCTCGGTGTCTATCTCTCAGCTAAGCTTGTTTTTATCTGGCTCCATCAAATTGTTGGACTGAATCTGGGACTCATGCTGCACGATTGCAGCCGATCGGCCCTCGACGTGGTCTCTCCACAATTATCTTCGTTCAGAACTACACTATAATCAGGACCAGTATATAAAATCTATGACAGTGGTTGTGTGTCGTAACGCTTTCACGTCTCGGGGCTTGAAGTGCCTGCAGGTCTAGTGAATTGTGCTGTCAGTGCAGGGAGCCTACCCATACTACAGTTTTTTTTTGGCTCCAGTTTTATTTTTTTGGTAACAATGCTGGTCTTGGCAAAAGAGATATCAAAAAAAAAAACCACAAGAAGAGAAAGGTGGTTGCAAATGACGGCGAGATTAAGGCAGACAAGATGGAAATAAGTGAAGCTGACGGTGGAATGCGGACGTAATGATGACCGCGTTGGACGCTAATGACGTAGAGCTTGTGCGATGGCTACATGAAACTATACTGGATGAAGACAATGAACGGAAATTTGACCACGAAACTCGCTTCTCTCTTCGGAACGGAGATGGCGAAATCGCCGAAATCTTGATGTCTAAAGGAAGATGCGTGTTGGACTACGCTTCTTGCGAACGTGTGAAGATGATTGAAATGCTAGTTCCCGAAGTGAACACACCAGAGTTCGTAGTGGGTGACCAGGATGGTATCAATCGCAATGTCAGTGCCTGACTGGCAGATAACTATCCAAACTTGTGAGAGAATTTCGAAAGACAAGAATGTCAAAACTAGGAAAATCATCTCATCTTAATAACTTCCAATATTTTAACGTGTGATATTTATAGTTTTTGGTTGTCATCAAATTGAATGCGGCTTCTCGCCATTATTTATTTGCAAGGACCAAAGATGCATTAAATGCATCTTTCAAAAAATAATATTTAGTCACAAAAATTTTTTGTGACTAAATATTATTTTTTGAAATATATTTGGAAATAAAATAGCTCACAAAACTTAATTTTCATTAATATATACAAAATTAAAATTGATTTAGAAATATAATTGGTCACTTCTAACAAATACATTTAGATATAAAATTAGTCACTTTTATAAAAATATATTTTGTCCAGAATATAATGTAAAAATCCTATTTTAATTATTTGAACGGTTTAGTAATTTCCCAAATTGAAACCTTTACCTTAGAATATCTACAATTTAGCAATTTTCTAAATATGAAACTGCAACTTCAGAACATTTACAATTTAACCATCATCAGTTCTGAGCAAAATGATGTCGTTGGCAATCGTTTCGGCGGTGCTGCGAGATCAGCGAGACTCTAACACGCCGCAGCTCGTCTCAGCACACATCTCCAGCTTCTTAGGGCCACCACCGTGTCTATCTCTCAGCCAGGCCTGTTCCTTCGGCTCCACTACGTTGCTGGACTGGATCTGGGACTCGAGCTGCACGTCGGCAGCCAACCGACCATCAACTTGGTCTCTCCACAATTATCTTCGCTCCGATCCACATTATTATCTGGACCAATTTAATAAGTCGCTGGAAGTGGCAGTGCACCGTAACAAATTAGCCATAGTCAAGTGGCTGTTCTCGCATTTTTCGTGTCTAGAAGTGCCTACAGTTGTAGTCAAAGCCGCTACCTCCGCTAGATGCCTACCAATACTGCAGTTTTTCCTGGCTAACGATATCGGTTGTGAAGGAGAGGAGCGGAGAAGTCAGAAGAAGAGAAAAGTGGTGGCAAATGATGGCGAGATCAAGGCGGAAAAGCACGAATCAAGTGAATTTGTAGCTGGCCACGTGATTCACTGGAATGCGGACGTGATGATGAGCGCGTTGGAGACTGATGACGAAGTGCTTGTGCGGTGGTTGCATGAAAACATGCCTGAGATAGACAATGGACGCGATATTGATCGAGAAATTCGCTTTTCGTTGAGGAATGGAGACAATCAAATCGCCAAGATCATAATGCCCAGAGGGAGATGCTTGTTGGACTACGCTTCTTGTGCAAGTGTGAAGATGATTGAACTGCTTCTGGACTGCAGGTACATTAAGCGAGACCAAGGTCTAGCTAACGAGGCGATTGAAAGCTTAGCTCGCCTAAACCGTTTGGATCTCATGCAGCAAGTTGTTTTACTTCATTCTCCCCCTCATGAAGATCAATCGTTGTGTCTGCATTCGTGGTGGGGTGCCATCACATCTGCATGCAGTAATGGCTACTTGGAGATGCTGCAATGGCTGCTGGACCACCCACTGTGGCTAGAACTTAGAGCTAGTATGAAATCACATCGGAAATACTCTTACCTTGTGCGGTTGGCAGCTCAAAACGACCAGGCCGGAATCATGCAGTACCTTTACGAACAAGGCGCTGATGATGAGATCGGTGGTGAAGGCATTGTCAGGGAGTATGCGAGAGAAATGATGATAGCAATTCGTGATGATCGCTGCAACACAGTAAAGTGGATGGTCCAGAACATTTCGTTTCCTGAGAGCGGCCCATCAAGCAATATGGCCATTAAAATTGCCGTCAGATTCCGGCGTTTTAATATTTTGAAGCTTTTCCATGAGCTTGGCTCGTCGAATGTCATTGATCTGACGCAAAACGAAGATAATCGAGCTGACCAGGTCACTGCGTGGTGGTCCCGATCGCAGAATCTGATGGATAGTGCTGGTGGCTGTGGTCGAGTGGATATGTTTCAGTGGTTACTAGAGAATCACCCCCAAGAGGTATCCAAAGACGCTATGGACAGAGCAGCGGGTGGTGGCCACTTGGAAATGGTTCAGTGGCTTCATGCCAACAGATCTGAAGGGTGTACTAAGAAGGCGATGGATGCTGCTGCAACCAGAGGTCACTTCGATATGGTAAAGTGGCTTCATGTCAATAGATCCGAAGGATGCTCTGAAGCTGCTATGGATGGAGCTGCAGGAAACGGTCATCTTGAGATAGTAAAGTGGCTTGACGCCAACCGGAGTGAGGGTTGTACGAAGAAAGCGATGGACGGAGCGGCTCGCAATGGTCATTTGAGCGTGGTCAAGTGGCTGTACGCCAACAGATCGGAAGGTTGCTCCGCTGAGGCAATCCAGAGCGCTGTGAACGAAGGTCACTTGGCAGTTTTGAATTGGTTGCATCAACACTATCCTGAACACGTTCCTACGGCTATCGATAAATGGGTTGGCAAGGAGAAAATGTTTGAGGTTTTACTCTTCTTACAAGCTCATTTCCCCCAAGTGATCACTCCGAAGTTTACAGCTGATGTTCGCCAGTACAACATTAACCGCGTGGTTAGTGCCTGGCTCGTCGACAACTAGTTGTACGCTGTCGAAACGTAGTGGAGGTGGGAAAAGTCTGTGACTAGGGATAAAATATCAACTGTTTGAATCCTACACTGATATTCTTTTTCACTAGAGAACCCTTGCTGGTAGCGCCAACGGGAGAGCACAACGTCGTAGACGGCTTTCAAACTTATACAATATTATTTTATCTTGATCAAGGGCTATGTTGACCGGTATTATTTCTTTGAGTGTTCAACAATTAGTAAACATCCACTTCTTATGAGGCAGGGGAGATCGGCAACCTGGTTGTACGAAACATTTAAGAAAACAAAAACAAAGCTGTGTATTTCTCTAAATATGAAAATGAACCTGTAACTCTTAACGTCTGCTGAAGCCGTATTGAGTAATACTTTGCATTAGAACTGTTCATGCAATTGTCAACAGTAATTACACTGCAGGTTATGCTTGTGCGCTCATGTTGATGGACGCGAACAAAGCATTCATTCCTTTAAGCGAACACTGGACCGGAGCACGGAACTAATGAAAGTACTGAATATGATGCTTCTGTCGACAATAACAGACGGAAATGTCGACTTTTTTTTTTGCGTTCGACCTCTTGTCGATATTATCGTACCAGGGATCTTTATCGACTCGATAAAGATCCCTGGTACTTTGGAGCTTTTCCCCAAAATGATCTCTGGAGGCTCGCGTCTGCCCAAGCTGCTCTTAAACAATGTGCTCATCGGGCTCGAGATTTTCATTCCGTTGTGTTGTTGCTGTTTGCTTTCGCATGGAGCACCTGGATGAGAGCATAGAGTATAGTGCGTCTATCGTGGAGGCTGATCTGAGGCAGTCAAATTGCAGATGACGGGGAAAGAGACACAAAACCAGCAAGATATCCCTTCCGGACCCGCTTGGTAGCACGACAGGCGAACCTTGAGTCTGACTTGTGTAAAAAAACTGGGAAAATAAAAAAAAACATAATGAAGCACGCCAGAGTGAAACGAGACCATTGGTCATTTTAACGAAGACAACGAAATGCCTCCATCATTGAAAGTCACAAAATTTAATGCGTCGATCGGGTTTGATTTAACTCTCGGCGTTCCGTTCGGAGCACCCCTGTCTTGCGTCGTTCTCCACGAGTTTGGGCAGTTATCTGCCTGCCAGGCACATTGCGGTTGGTATGACCACATCGGCCAAAATCCGATGTGATCACTTAAGGAAAATTCGCATGTAAGAAGAGCAAGTCTCAAGCAAATTCTCACCCTCAAGCGAATTATCGGTGCATGCTTGGGATAATGGCGATGCAGCCAATGTAAAACTGCCAAATGGTCATTTTTTTTACAGCTTCATCCATCGCTGTTTTGGTGCACCCCTCGCTCCTATTAACGTGAAGCCATTTTACTATCTCAAGATGACCCCTGCATGCAGCTCCATCCATAGCTTCTGTAGTGCATCCCTCGGATCTATTGGCATGAAGCCACCATACCACATCAACATGGCCTTTGGCTGCTTCGTAATCCATTGCCTTCTCTTCGGATCTGTTGACATGGGCACTGTATCATTTCCAAGTGGCCGCCACACGCCGCTCTGTCCATTGCAGCCTCCGTTGCTTCACGAGGGTGGTTCGATAGCAAACACCGGAACACATCGATTCGTTCACTACCACCAGCAACATCCATCACATTCTGAGGCAAAGACCACCACGCAGGGACCTGATCAGAATGATTACCGTCATTTGGTGTCATACCTGACGAAGCCAGCTCGTGTAAAAACTTTAATATATCGAACCGTCGGCATTGCGTGGCGACATCAATAAATTCGTCACCTAGCCTACCGGCCTCAAGAAATCGGGTGTTCTCGATCATCCATCTTACTGTATCGCAATGATCATCGTGCATTGTAAGCATCAGTATTAACGAATACCTGACTTTATTGCGATCACGTTTGATCTCATCAGCAGCGCCTTGTTCATAGAGGTACGGCAAGATTCCGACGTGGCCAATACAGGCTGCCAATAGCACGAGATTAGTATTTCTCTGCAGCTTCAAACGTATGCGAAATTCCTGCCCCATTGGGTGATCAAAAAGCATCGGTAAGTAGCCATTCTTACCTGCATTTTTGATGGCGCTCCACCACGTATATATACTCAACGGTCGACTTTCAATAGAAGGGGAATGAAGCAATCCCCCTGTTCAAAGAGGAGCGAATTTCTCGATCGAAATCCCGTTCATCGCATTCTGTGCAGTGTTGGCAATAAAAATATTTTTATTTTTTTCGGAAATAAAAAAACGATAAAAATATTTTTATTTTTTATGCAGATAAGTACGAGTTTAAACA